CACTTAGACCTGGGGATTTGGTGAACATCTGCAAAGATAAGAAGATGCCCTCTTTTCTGTCAATCCTCTGATATCCTAGGTTTTGCGGGGAAGCTAAGAAAGAGCTAAGAAAGCGTGTGTAGATTGTGGTCACCTGGGTGATCTCTTGCACAGGACTCTACACACACACAAACACATGGTAGGAAGTGAAGGGGCTCCATTTTGCTAAAGCAAACAACAACTATCTCTGTGCAGTTGCTCTGTTGGTCAGGCAGCAAATGGCTCTGCCACACAATTAGAACGATATAACCATTTTCTTTCAGTTTGCATGCCTCCTGCTGTTGCAGCACCTGTTCAGGAGACCCTGGGGGTTTTCCATCCTTGTACTCATAATCCTGCAAATTTGAGCTATGGACTATGCTCATTTCCCCCACTTTGGCTTCATGTAGTTTTTATTTGATGTGTGGAGGAATTAGAGAGTGCCATGTAGCTGTGCAGGGTGAACATCAGCTCATTAAACTTGCCAAGAATTGGACAGTCCATGAAGATTAATTATTGGCTCTGCCTTTTATGTGCTGTCATTAGGCAGACATCTCTGTTGCTCTGAGAAGTTAATACAAATACTTAATTAAAGCCAACTTTTCCTCTCTTTGGAGGCTATTCCAATAGCTTCCTGCTTCTCAAAACATAGAAGACGCTTCACTGAGTGAGCTCAGGAAGGTCCCAGCAAAGCACTGTGGAAGAAATCGAGGGTGAGGTCAGGGAACTGGGACTCTGCCTGGGGAAAGGGTGATCCTGTCCATCTCAGCTGGGGCTCTTATAACTCCCCTGCAGTGTTCCTGCCCAAAAAGTCAGAAGAGCCTAGAACCTGTGCTTGTTAACAGGCATGTTGATTTCAACGGAAGAAATAATCCCCAGGAAACCTATTGCATTGAATTCAAATGGATTTGTTTCTGCTGTGCTATTATTTAATTAACTAAACACAGACTTCTGCACATCAGAAAGTGAAAATGTACATTTTTGAAAGACTCAGATTTGAACCACTCAAAGCCAACCAATATCTGTATTTGGGCCTGGTTGATTGGGTGGGGTACCATGTTTTTTTGCTTTTGCTTTTTAGTAGAAGAGGCAGTGTCTTTCACATGAGTTATTTGTAAAATGCCCGAAAAAAAGCTGTTTAAAATGGTATTGAGGTTCCTAGGCTAGCCCATAATGCTTGTGTAACCCATGCATGCTGAGCCACACAGCTGCTGCTTCATTGGTCTACTGGAAACACATCCTACATCCTTTGTTTTGTAGCAGTGGCAGCCTGTGAACTCTGGAAAGGGTTATCCCTGGCCCACTTACCCCTGCTGGTCTGGCACACATTCTAGGTCCAAATGAATGGACTGGATCAAGTAGAGTCCACATGTCTTTCGCTCACTCTTTGAGCATACAGCCTGTTCCAGCCACTGCGCTAGGAGGTTAGGATCCTGAGATGGATAAACTGGACTGCTGCCTTGAAGGAGCCCATGGGTTCATGAAAAAGGTAGATGAGTCAATCAGCTGTTTCATTGCAGTGTGAGGCTCAAGCTGCTTTGGGAGCACAGAAGGGATTATGTCCACAAAGATGCTCCTGGTTAGAAAGAAGAAATCAAAGTAGGGAATGAGGCAGCAATACCCAAACAGCAGTTATTTCATGAGTGTAACTCATCAAATAGTAATTTAAAGAACTGAGTTTGCAGAACACTTTACATGCATTCAAATGAATTTGATCCTCGCACCAGCCATGAAAGGTAGCATTTGTATTTTACCCGATTTGTTTAGCATTCCCTAATTCAGTGCCCACTGTGTGCTGGCACTGTGCTAGGCTCTGGGAGAGCAGTGAACAGAGCCAGGTCCCTGCCCATGTGCACCTTGCCCTCTAGTAGGAGGCCAAGCTATCCTCCATTGGTGTGACTTCTCTGTGATCATACAGCTAGTTAGGGAGGCAACAGTTGGTACTGGGCCTCCTGTGCAATCGACTTTTCCACCCTATAACTCACCCACTACATTGAGAACACATTTTTCTAACACTTTCCAGCATCCCCCAGATAACTCTGCCTGTTCTGTTGGCAACAACGACCAACACCAACAAGCAGAGGTTGTCACTAGGCATACAATAATGTGAGATTTCAGCAGTGCTTAAACTAGAAAACATTTCGGATTCCAAAACAATGGTGTACAGGAAGGAAGAGGTGGGGGAAATATACCCTTTGAAGGAAGGGGAACATTTCCCCTTATACCCAGCTAATATTGAAAGCTTGGAAATGACTGAGTTAAGCCAGCCCACCATGTGCCTTATTATAGCTTGTTCCACCTATGGCTGCTGTCTGGCATTTTTTAACAATCATAGACATTTTCAGGATATATTAAGTCATTTTTATTTTGCTGTTTGATATATAGCTAAAGTTGGCAGGATTGGCTTACTTCGCCTTTATTGGAGCACCACACAAAGTGTGCACTGATAAATGTTTGTTCAACAACTAGCTTTCTAGGAAAGATACGTATGCAGATATATAAGCACATACATTTGTCATAAATTTTGCTGATACAAAGTGTGTAGCACACAATTCACAAATAAGTATAAAGTAGGCAACACTCTTGATTATAAATTTCAATAGCCAATTGATTCTTACAAAAAAAGGCTTTTGTTGATTTCTGCTGAACCGTTGTATCCATAGTCAACCTGTGATTGTAATTCAACCATGATTTGACAAACATCAAACTATGAACTAACGTTTGATTACTACCCCATTCAGCAAAGTCACTCAAGGCATTAACAAATGAGTGTAGTTCTAACATGAATGCTGGTCGATGTTTTTGTTTACTCTGAATGAACAGAAGGAAAACCATCAAGATGTGGAAACTTCATTCATTAGTCAGTATGAGTGACGGTACTGAATTAGATCATCAGTATTTTTGAATCGGCTTTCCCAATAGTTTTGCATCATGAAAGAATATTTCCTCAATTTTTGGTGCTACTCACAATCTAGCAGCTACAGATCCACTTTTAAGTCTTATGACACACTTTTACATTGATCTGCATCGTTAATATTTCCTGTCACCTTTTAAAGTATAGACAAGCAAGAAAAAAGAAGCCCTGACTTTTAGTGTTTGCCATTTTTTGTGGTGTAAATACTCCTCATATGACTGATTTCCAACGTGACATGACTGAGCACATTGACGGGAAGAGATGTGCGTACGTATCATTATGTAGTACTTTGACAATACAGGTCCAATGGAAGAAAATAACTCCCAGAGCATAGGTAATAACAAAATATAGTAAATTTATTAGAAAGAGATGCTTTGAGTATTTATCATCTTTGTTTTTAACATAATTTATTGCAATTTTATGTAATTTAGATTTTTTTTTCTTTTTTTTGAGACGGAGTCTTGCTCTGTCACGCCGTGAGCCACCGCGCCCAGCAATTTAGTTTTTAATAATAGCTGTATTTAACGATCAGCTTACAAAATCCTGAAAATTTAACAATCAGTTCCCATGGGCTAGTACAAACTGGCTCTAGCACCCCACTACTGTCTGCATATCACTCCCATTTAAGTGGAAAAAATTAGTTTCTTCTCATAAAGTGCTGTGGCACTTACCTTCTAAAATGAAACTTATGGCCGGGCGCAGTGGCTGAGGCCTGTGATCCCAACATTTTGGGAGGCTGAGGCGGGTGGATCACGAGGTCAGAAGTCCGAGACCAGCCTGGCCAATATGGTGAAATCCTGTCTCTACTAAAAATACAAAAATTAGCCTGGTGTGGTGTCGCACACCTGTAATCCCAGCTACTCGGGAGGTTGAGGCAGGAGAATTGCTTGAACCCAGGAGGCAGAGGTTGCAGTGAGCTGAGATCATGACACTGCACTCCAGCTGGGTGACACAGCAAGACTCCATCTTGAAAAAATAATAAAATAAAACAAAATAAAATGAAACATATAAACAGGTGCCCAATATATGTATGTCGAATGAATGAATTTAGAAGAATATTTAATCAAAGCGTGTCTTGACTTTTACAAAATCATACAACTGAATATAGAATAACTACATCTGAACTAGCAAATACTGTACTTACTGTAATTAGTCTCTGTTCTCTGCTACAGTGTGATTTTCCACCCTTCTTCTAAAGGTACAGCTTGAATTTTGAAACTAGATCCCTACAATTTGATCCTATTTTGTTTGACTTGGAAGAATAACTCATAATGAAGCTGATTTTTAAAATACTGGTAGGTTCCTTAAGACCCTGAGTGTGATGTCTGCTCAGGTGAACGTCTGCTAATTAGCTAGCTGGGATCTGGTCCTTGGGGGACTTGTTTTACCAGCGGCTTCAGGTTGTTTACACTATGAGACACTCACCTTTATCCCTGCAATTAATTAGGGGTGGGGCCTTCACAGTCTTGCTTTTGATTCACAAATGACAACTTCCCCCATCTCCACAGTGTTGTTCTTCTGTGGGTGATCTGTTTGTGGGTTACAGAAGGCAAGTCTAGAGCTGTGCTGAAGTCAGTGCTTTGCAGGCACAGAATAAGGTAGCCATCCATCAGATGGGCAGGGACCTGTGGCATAACTGTTCGTCTTTCATTTACTCTCATTCATTCTCACTCACTCAAATAATTAATAAGTACCAAGTGCCCACCTGGAATCTAAGCAGTGTGATTATTATTATTATTATTTTGGAAACAGAGTCTGGCTTTGTCACCCAGGCTGGAGTGCAGTGGCATGATCGCAGCTCCTTGAAGCCTCAAACTCCTAGGCTCAAGCAATCTTCCTGCCTCAGCCTCCCGAGCAGCTGGGACTACAGGCGTGCACCACCACACTTGGCTATTTTTTTTTTGTATTTTTTCATAGAGACAAGGTTTCGCCTAGGCTGGTCTTGAATTCCTGGTTCAAGCGATCTGCCCACCTCAGCCTCCCAAAATACTGGGATTACAGGCATGAGTCACTGTGCCCGGCCATGAATTCTTAATACTTAAAAAACTTCATTGACTTTTTCTTACAGAGGCAAAGCATAGTCATTGACTGTAGAAGACAGTAATGAAATACATATAAGCAAAGACAAAAGAAAAACATCCATAATTCACTGTCTCGAAGATGTTCACTAAGTCTTCCAGACTGTCACAGACCTCTGAGCCCAAGCTAAGCCATCATCTCCCCAGCGACCTGCACGTACACATCCAGATGGCCTGAAGCAACTGAAGATCCACAGAAGTGAAAACAGCTTAACTGATGACATTCCACCACTGTGATTTGTTTCTGCCCCACCCTAACAGATCAATGTACTTTGTAATTTCCCCTACCCTTGAGAAGTTGCTTTGTAATTCTCCCTGCCCTTGAGAATGTACTTGGTGAGCTTCACTCCCTGCCCCCAAAACATTGCTCTTAACTTCACTGCCTATCCCAAAACCTGTAAGAACCAATGATAATCCCACCACCCTTTGCTGACTCCTTTTTCAGACTCAGCCTGCCTGCACCCAGGTGAAATAAACAACCATGTTGCTCACACAAAGCCTGTTTGGTGATCTCTTCACACGGACACGTGAAACACAGACTTTTTAGTGCCTGTATAACATAAGGTTGCAAAATTAGGCCCTTACTCAATATATTAGGTTGGGGGTTTTTTAACTTAAAAATAAATAATGTAAAAAAGTTACTTAAAAACTTTTTTAAAATGTATTTTAGCGATAAAGTTTTGCTCTGTCTCCCAGGCTGGAGTGCAGTGGTGCAATCATCGCTCACTGTAACCTCTTACTCCTGGGTTCAAGCTATCCTGCCTCAGCCTCCCGAGTACCTGGGACTGCAGGTGTGAGCCACCGAGACCTACTAAGATTTACTTTTAGTGAGGCTTTAACGCTAGTTAGTCCAAGGAGGAGACAAAATGTTCCTTTAGACTCATTGTCTTAAAGGGAAATGAAGTGACCCTTTTTGTAGTCCTGTCCACTCTGGAAGGGCAGCACTGGTGCGGAAGAAACCGAGTGGCCACCACAAGCCCTTCTGCATAGAATATGCTGTTCATGGAATAAGGCAATTGGAGGCCTTGGAATCTTGTCATTGTTTTCTTGTGGTGTCAATTGGATTAGAATCTGTAATTTTAGAAATTAGACTGTTGTTAATTAATGCATATTTCTGTAGTTGCTTCTGTTGGAACCGAACTGTCGATTCCTTCCTGGGCAGGGGTCGCCGCGAAGGATCACCGACACGAGATTCACAGCAGAGAGTTATTTATTACTAGCGCGCTAGGGTCCTAAGCTCTAAGTTGGCCCTGGGACCCTGACTGCTTGTTACAGGCTGTTTATATAGGCAAACACAAGTTCAAACACAGCTTAGGGCGCGAAATTCAAACAAAGCTTTAGGCGCGTGGTAATTGGGTCTGTCTATGGCCTGAGCAAGGTGTCTTGTTCTAATTGGTTAGAGCAGGACCTTATGAGGTTTTTTCCTGGAGTTGTTGATTCCGGGAACTTCGAGGCAGGGTGGGACCCCCGGAATTGGCAGGGTGGGACCCCATGAGGTTGTTTCCCGGAATTGGCAGGGTGGGACCCTATCAGGGTGGGACCCTATTGAGGCAGGGTGGGACCCTATCCAGAGCCACCTGGTGTTAATTTTTTTTAAGTTCTTTTTCTTATGAGGCCTAGTTTCTAAGTTTTATGCGGCCTAGTTTCACTTCCTTTAGCTTAGTGGTAAAATTTTTGGCCAGGCGCGATGGCTCACGCCTGTAATCCCAGCACTTTGGAAGGTTGAGGCGAGTAGATTACGAGGTCAGGAATTTGAGACCAGCCTGGCCAATATGGTAAAACCCTGCCTCTACTAAAAATACAAAAATTAGCCAGTAAAAATACAAAAATTAGCCGGGCATGGTGGTGGGCACCTGTAATCCCAGCTACCTGGGAGGCTGAGGCAGAAGAATCCCTTGAATCCCAGCTACCTGGGAGGCAGAGGCTGCAGTGAGCTAAGATCGCACCACTGTACTCCAGCCTGGTTGACAGAGTGAGACTCCGTCTCAAAACAAACAAACAAAAACAAAAACAAAAACAAAAACAAAAACAAATGCATGGTTGTGGTATTACCCTGTGCTAAGAAGAAACAGAAAAGAGCTTTAGCAGCGTCATTGCCTTTAAAATAGAGGGAACAATGATCTCCTGGGACCCAGCCAGGGGAAGAGGCAGCCAAGGTCAGAGTTCTTCCTCTGAACAACTCTCCATCTAATGGATGCCTGTAGGCATCGCAGTCTCCTTTTGTCTCAGAGCAAATTGAGAGATGCTAAGATTAGGCTCTGAGCTCAACTGTTGATAAAAAATAAATAGAGGGAGGCAGGCAGCCTGGGGTGGGGTGGGGGTGGGCTCCTTCACCGAAGCTGGTGAGCAGCAGGGAGGAGGCACGCTCTCCCCACCTCTGTCCTTCCCTCCACTGCCCTTCCCCCAGGGGTCATAGTCCACACCACTATCACCTGTAACCTAGGCCTCTGTTTCCTCTGAGCTGCTGACATTTGTGGCCAGCTTCTTACGCAGCAGTTCTACCTGATATCCCGCCACCCTCTTCACACTGAACGACGAAAAGGGAGCTCATTGCTACCCCACATCATCAACTCCCCTCCTGCTGTAGGTCCCCTCTTTTTCTTTTTACTGTCTCTACAATCTATCTCCACTGTCTGCCCCACTGCTACCAGCTTGGCTCAGGCCCTCATGATTTCTCACCTGTATTAGCACAATCCCCTCCTTTGAAGACACTGTCCCTGCCTGCGGCCCGGCCCCTCACAACGATCCATGTTCTGGTGAGCTGGCTACAGCCTTGCTACTGCATATGGGGTCCCCAGACTGGCTGCTTCAGCATCACCCGGAAATGTGTCAGAAATGAAGAATCACCGCCCCCATGTTCTCGATCAGTGAGGGTCCTGTCTGAAGACGGAAAGCCCATTAATTTGAATAAGGAAAATTTGATATAACACATGGGCAAATGGATAAACAAATTGTATCCATTCATGCAATGGAAACTTATTCAGGAAACAATATGAATGAATCCCAAGGGCATTGTGCCAAATGAAACACTCAAGTCTCAAAAGGTTATAGGTAGCATGATTCTATTTATAGGACATTCTAGAAAAAGCAAAACTTTTGGACCAAGTTCAGTGATTTCCAGTGACTAGGAGGAGGGGGAGGATTTTATTACAAAGGGACAACATGAAGGAATTCTGGTGGGTGTGGAAGTGCTGTGTACCCTCATTTTTAGGTTGGGTACACTTGTCTACACTTGTATTAAAACTCATGGAACTGTACACCAAAGAAAGGCAAGTGGACTGCAGGTAAATTAAAAATAATAAACAAATATTGTAGTGCATTATAAACCATTGAATAAAATCAGAAACCATAGTGCATATTGATAGCTAAGTAAATATAAAATATCTTCCCCCAAACACTACAAAACGGGGAAATATTAACTTTATAGTGGAGAAGCCTGGTCAACCCACTTTAATAGAGTGATTAAAGGTAACATCATCAGTAATATACTGAGGAGAATCACTTGCCATCTGATGAGATGCAACGTGAAGATCACAGTCAGGGCCAGTTTCATGGACTTCTGCAGTAGCACAGGGCCCAGTGCTCAGAAGGGGCATATGTTTGGTTTAATGCTCTGCTGTTGCTTTCTTGAAAGTCTTAGTAATTTTTTAATGAGGGGTCCGTCTACAGTATTTTCATTTTGCAGTGATCCCTGCATGTAATGTAGTTGGTTCTGAATACAGCATCCTTTCTGTGATTTTCCTGCCAGAGATGTGTAACCTGAATTTGATCATGGTGAAACATCAGGCAAAGCAAAATGAATGGGCATTTTACACAATCAGTTGCTTGGTCCCTTCACAAGTGTCAAAGTCACGAAAGTCAATGCAAGATGGAGGACCTGTTTCATGTTGGAGGATGCTAAGGTAACATGACAAGTAAGTGTAATGCAGGTTTCTGTATTGGGTCCTTTGGCAACAAAAGTGTTGTTGGGACAACTCATGAAACTTGACTGAGGTCTGAAGATGAGATAGCAGGAATGTACCAGAGTCAGCTTTCCTCTCCTGATGGTTGAATTGTGATTGTGTAGGAGAATGTCCTTGTTTGTCGAACTCCCAAACTTCAATATTTAAGGGTGATGGGGCACCATGTGGGTGTCTTACACCCAAATAGTTCAGGGCAGAAATTCATTGTGTTCTTTTGGCAACTTCTCATGAAGTTTGAGGTTGTTTCAAACAAGAAAGAGTGATGGGGAGGAGACAGAGTGATGGGGGAGAGGGAAGGCTTCTCTAATGAGGTGACATTTGACCAAGACCTGAATGAAGTGAAAGAGCAAGTCACTGAGTATCTGGAGGAAGAACATTCTAGGCAGAGGGAACAGAATGCACCAGGGGAGTGAGGAGGGCACACGCCCGAAGTGTTCTGAGAAATAGCCAGGAGGCCAGGAGGCTCATGCAGAGACAGGGAATGAGAAAGTGGTAGGAGGTGAGGTCGGAGAGGTGATGGGGACCGAATCAAGTCCCAGCAAGGATGCTTGGTTTTGTTCACTGTGCTGGGAGATATTGGAGGGTTGGCCAGAGGAGCGACATGACACGACTTGTATTTTACAAGGATGGCTCTGGCTGCTGTGTGGAAAATAGACGACAGAGAGGCAGGGGTGGAAGCCAGGACACCAGTTGGGAGACTGTGGGAACAATTCACTCTCTGGTGGATAACTGTGCTGCAGGAACCTCCAGGAAGACTGTGAAGAGCCACTGCCAGCCCACAGCACAGAGCACTGGGCTGGCTCTGCCTCAGCAGCAGTGATGCCATCTGACCACTCCTCCATCTCATGCCCATCCTCCCTTGGAGGCCTGCCAAGAGGTGTCCGGCACAGAAGCTGCTCGTCAAAGGGCAGTTCTGATCATGACTTGCTAGAAACGTTGAAAAGCCAGCTGGTTGCATTTTTAATTGAATATTTCATTATTTGGCACAAGTGCTAAAGTGTCTTTTTAAATTAATTATTATAGAACCAAAGACAAGCTCAGGGAGAAATAGTGTAACCGTCAGATTTTGTCTTACTGCCTGGAGCTGCCTGACGACTCCAGGCCCTTTTGTCCTGTGCAGAGTTTGCATCCTCAATGCCCTTGAATGAAAGGGTCTTGAGGTTTTATCTGGTCCTACCCAACAACAACAAAACAACAACAACAAAAAATTTGAGCATTGACCTCTGATTTTTGGACCCAAAAGGACTTTGGTGGAAAATGATTCCAGTCCCCTCTTTTTCTGGATCCATCAGATGAGTGATAATTTAGAATTCAATTGGTTTTGTTTTGCTCCCAAACTTATCCTCATAAAGTTCCAATGATAAAAAGATGTAGACTTAGGTGCTAGTTGTGTTCGGCTTTCTTCTTGGAACATCCAGTGGTCTTAATGACAT